TATGTGAGTTTTTTGAGATGTTGATTCCACGTCAGCCTTTGGTCGAAGAGGACTTCGAGGTATTTGGCTTTTGTGACAACTGGAATAACCATGTTGTTTAGAGCTGTTAGAGACCGTTTCGAGAACGCGCAATATTCAATACTACACGAATACTTTGATAGTGAATTTTATCTAAAAGCTGTTACACAATAGTTTGGACATATATCAATGGTTTTTTGAGGTTAGTTTTTTAACATCTTCATTTACAAATTGAATCATGAAAAAGTTGAGCATTGAACAACGTGTTGAAGTCATTAAAGCATATTACAAAAATAAAGGTACAAACAAAAGTGCATTTCGCATTTTTCGTGATTTTCTCGGCATCCATAATCTATCAACCGATAATGCTACTGGCAAAATTGTGAAAAAGTTCCAATAAACTGGGTCTGTGCAGGACGCTCACCCGAAAACATTGCTGCCGTAAGGACTAATGTTGCCAGGAACCCAATACCTTTATTATAGAGTGTTCTAATAAGAGGTTTCTAATGTTTTTTTAAATAAAATGAAAACCAAATAAAAAAAATAAAAAATTATAGCAATCGGTAACACAATTGTGTACAATTAAATGTAAAACACAATATCGAGCAACAACTTCTCTTCCAGGCCACAACTGTTTTGATAAAATGTTCGATCACAGTTGAGCACATTTCTGGTGTTTTCTTTACGTGAGTAATAAAGCACGATATTTCGAGACTTTTTATTGCCTAAAATAATCAATATGGCTCTTGACAAACAATCTTTTCAAGAAGACGGTGCAACATATCACACATCAAGAGAAACAATGAACTTGCACAAGGTAGACTTCTTTCAAGAAATAGAGCCTAATCCTGCAATCTAACGCCGCTAGGCTTTTTTTTTGTTGGGTTACATCAAAAAGTAAAGCATATTGTTTATGTAAACAATCCCCAAACAATTTAAAAATTACAAAATTAGATTCGATCCACCACCAAAAATATGTACAGCTGTGATCGAAAATGTTGACAAAAGAGTTTTGAACTGCCAGAGAAGTCGCGGTGTGGTCATTTGCTTGTTATTGTGTTTCACATATAATTGTATACGATTATGTTACCTATTCTTATAAAGTTTGAATTATTTACTTATTTTGTTTTAATTTTTTTTTAATAAATTCATTGAAAACTGCTTATGGGAACACTCACTATATCGACCACATGAATTGCATTTGTAGATGGCCCATTTTGCAGCGGATATTGACAAAAGATATCTCGTTGTACGCATACAAAATTCTATTAACGCAAGAACTTAAGCCAACGAACTATTTCAAGCTCCATACTTTTCCGATTGAACACACGAACAAAGACAAGTTTCTACTAAAATATTTTTCGACGAAGTACATTTTCATCTTAATGGCTACGTCAATAAGCAGAAATGTAGAATATGGACGGATGAAAATCCAAGGAAAATTGTTGATACACCAATGCATTAACAAAAAGTTACTATGTTGTGCTCATTTTTTGCAAGGGGACTCAACATTGTTTGACCATTATTGGCCAATATTGGATGATTATGACATCGATGACATGTGGTTTAAACAAGATGGCAACACATGCCACGTAGCCCACGCCACAATAATTCTATATTATGAGAAATTTCCCAGGCGCATAATCTCTTGAAGCAGCGAAGTCAATTGGCCACCGAGATTTTGCGATTTAACTTCTTTCTTTGAGGTCATCTAAAGGGTAAATGCTATGCAAATAAGGCAACTACCATCCAGCTACTCAGTATATAGATGAGATAAAAGAGCCGTTGGAGTTGTGGCGAACATTTTCACACTTAATTTTAACCTCTTACTGCATACTGTGCCACATTTGGCACACGTTCAAAATTATTATATTTTTCTAAGTTTCCGAAGAGTTTGTGATATCAACTCAAGTTGTCCCATATCTGGCACACTCGCTTGTTCACAGGCAGCCGCTAAATCCCCTTCACTATCGTACGCGCAAATTTTATGAATCATTTAGTGAATATCTGGGTGGCGACAGGCGCTAGCTTGTTTGGGGCAAATTCAAAATAGAATATTTTTGTTCTTTTGGCCTAATTTGTGTGGAAAAAAATATTTTTATAAGGATAATTGTTTACTGTGATGACTAAAGTCGCACAAAACTTTTTTCTATATAAAAACAAAAAAAACTGTCTTTTTACTTGTGCCCTATTTGGAACAATATGAGATAAAGATTATTTTTGTAACGGATTTTTAGTTTTTCAGATGAATACCAAGAAGTTATATAGAACAAAAAAAGTACAAATTCCAATGACTAATGGAAGTGATGATGATAATTTATCTTCCGATGATGACGATCGAAAGAATGAACTAATGAGTCTCATAAAACATCAGATAGTGTAAGCAATGCTTCATCAACTAAAGAGGTAATTATCGATGAAACTGACAGTGACAGCGAATACGAAATACCGCTCTCCAAATTACGATAATCTAATCAAGATAAGCATAGTGATATAAATGTTCCCTCGACATCTAAATCTCATAGTGATACAAATTTACCATCGACATCGCCTAGCAAAAAATGTAAAAATCACAACACAAAAAATGGGAAAAGAAGAAGTTGTCTGGCAGATTAGGTTCCTTGCTGTTACTGAAGAATTTGTGAAATTCAAAGGAGATGAAACATTTTCAATTTTCATACAAGAACTCGAAGATCCCATTCAGTTTTTCAATTTTTTTTTCAATTACGAAATTTTTACTTATATAGCTGAACGGTCAAACTATTTTGGTGTACAAAGTAGGCCTGAAAAACAGTATATCCAAAGATGAACTTCGCATTTTTTGTGGTATTTGCATATACATGTTAATTATTCAACTACCTTCAACGAGGTCCTACTGAAACCAATCGTTAGATATTCCCTGCATCTCACGTGCTATGACCTGGAATAGATTTTAAGAAATCAAACGATTTCGTCACTTCAACGACAACACACGCCAGGTTCCTCAAGAGCAGCCAGGTTATGTTAAGCTTTTTAAGATACGTCCATTGCTAAACAAAATTCGTGAACGTTTCTTACTTGTTCCTATAGAGGAAGCATATGGCTTTTTGAATAATAAATTATTCCGACAAAAGCTAGATCAAGTCTTAAACAATATAATCCCAAAGAACCTCATCAATGGGGATACAAGGTTTTTGTTCTAAGTGGGGTGTCTGAATTTTCTTACGATTTTGACTTTTATTGTGGAGCTACTACTCTTGATAATAATCAACCAGGAGCAAGCAGCAATGTTGTTGTAAAACTTTTAGAATCAATTCCAAGAAATCTGAACTACAATTAATTTTTTGATAACTGTTTTACGAGCATTCTTCTACAAATATACCTCACCAAAAATGGTATTTTACCTTTGGGGACAGTAAGAGGAAATCGTGTGTATAATTTCGAATTCCCTAAGGAAGCAGCTATGAAAAAAAAAGCTAGAGATACAGTTATTGAAGCAGAGGCTAATATAGATGGTGTAGACATATCTGTTCTTTCATGGTTTAATAATAAAATTGTGAACACCATGTCAACATATGTTGGGAGTTAGCCTGTATCGATAGTAAACAGATTTTGCAGGAAATTTAGGACACATATAGAAATCACCCGCCCCCAATGTGTTGCGGTATATAATGCTTATATGGGGGGAGGCGATTGTCTCGATTATATATTACCGAATCTAAATTCGATCCAAATAGTGGTACATGAGGATATTTTTCTATTTCCTGGATATGATATGCGTCAATAGCTGGATACTGTGGAGGCAAACCCTAAAAAATAATGATTTATACCTACCACTTTCAGAATTCAAATTTGGTATCGCAGAAGTTTTGACCAGAGCTTATAGTTCAGAAAGAAAAAGGGGAAGACCAAGTACCAGCTTACAACCTCAACTGAATCTCAAAAAAAAGAAACGTCGTTTTTCGTAGATTCCAGCCCAGGAAATAAGAACCGACAACTTGAATGATTTGCCAAGAGCAACGATAGAGGTGTAAATATCCAGATTGTAAGGGAAAATCACAGATATTATGTGGCAAGCAAATGTTCAGTATTTTTTTGTCTAAATAAGGATCGCAATTGTTTTAGCAAATCCCACACGGAATAGGGCAAGATTTTTACTCTTTCGTTGAGATAATATCTATTTTTTAAAAATAAATCTGAATTTATGCTTATTACTTTTGTTTTATTTCCGAAATTTGTGCCAAATTTGGCACATGTCAAAAATTAACATTATTACTGTTATCTCATTTTGTGCCAAATTTGGCACAAGTCAAAGTTTAACATTTATTTCCTTTAAATATCGATAAATATTTTTTTTACTATTTTTTCATAACTAACTCCTAATCAATCATTATAACGCATACATTTTTTTGACAAAAAATTAAAAATCATGCAGTAAGGGGTTAATGGATCATATAACATATTTCATTGAAGACATCTTTATTTTTTTACACCACTGATTCTTAACATCGGTCCATCTTATTGCAACATCCATTATAACCGTCTCAATAGCTCTTGTAAATTATGACCAAAAAGAATACATCCAAATTATAAAAAAGTAGATGGGTGGATCGTGGACACCCTACCATGTAAAGCATAACCGTTCCATTAAATCAATAATTTCTTTCACACATATATTCTACATTAATTTTGATATCATCTAACGGATTGGCTATACTTATATTTTTAAAATAAACAAGCATATAACAAGTAAGGAGTTACTTTTTATTTTTATTTGTTGTGGTAGGTGGAGCATAGGGGATAGATGGAACAGTTTTGTATTGTCATTTATTTTTCTCTTTGTATCCCAGAAAGCTATGTTAAACATTTTCCAATATCATCTTTATTTCATAAGATATAGCTATTGTTGGTTTTAAATTACCACCTCATACAACTATGGTTAAATGTTAACCTAATGATTTGAAACCATTTTTTCAGTGTAACCAATAAATTTCTTATTTTAGGCATTCCCCTAACCAACGAATAGCCTTCGCTTCTCCGCACAGCGACAACTACTACCTAAGAAGACCCGAGAAAAAAACCGACTACAAGGTGTTCCATAAAATTCCGTCATCATCGATGCTCCTTACCAGCTACGATCCGTTCTACAGCCCGTTGCTCTCGCGACTCGATGCCATTTTCAAGCAATTGGGTTTGGGGAACGCGAAATCCCGAGAGACCGAGAGATGTCGAGAACGACTAGTCTGCATGATGTACGCCAATCCGACCAAATACGCGCCGTACAGCAATCTGGTCTCCGCTCAGCTTAGCAGGTAATAATCCGGGATTGTTTTATAGAAGGGGTTGCGGCATAGAGTCAGGTTTTCGCTGAATCAACTTTGGTGTTTTAGGATTAAGTGCAAAAATAATAGAAAAACTGCCGAAAAAAAAACTAATTAAAGCATAAATAGTGCAAGAAGCCAAAATAAAATATTAAAAAAAACCTTTGAATTGAGTTAAATCCCATTCAAAACACTCAATTCTGCTTAAAAATTGCGTTTTTAGTAGAAATAAATCATTTTTATAGCAAAACTAGAACAATTCTGATATTACGAATAAGAATTAATGAAAAACCGTGGAGTTTGAAATGTTAAAAAGCCGAATAAACGCAAAATAATATTAATTAAAGCACAAATAGCAAAATACGAAAAAAATTAAAAAATCAACTAAAAAATGTGTTAAATACATTTCAAAATATTAAGTAATAAACAACGATATTGGTACGCCATTGTTTCCTCTAATTTAATATAATCTAAAATAGTATATTATTAGTTTGAGACGTAAGTTATTATTTACTGATCTACGTGCCTCAGGATATAATATGCGAGGTTTATAATGTCCTCATCCGTAGTATATATAGAATCTTTTTTACTACTAAGACTGATATAATATTACCATATCTAATTTGATTAGATTTTGATAAAACCAGCTTTAGTTAATTCCTACATATTTTGTAACATGAATAGTTGGTTATTTTATCCACTTTGATATATGTGGTTAAGCTCAATTTATAGGGCGTGGGTTAGGCACAGTTGGGCACCACTATATTTAAAGCTTATACACTTAACTAAAAATATAGAAAATCACTAACGATTAACAAATTATACTTAAACAATTCTTTAAATAAGATAGGTATCAAATTCTAATTCACATAAGTTTGCACATAATTCCAATTAAAAACAATTTATTGATTAGATCAATAATTGCACATATCTGTGTGGTAAATAGGTAATATACGGTATGGTAAGTTAAAGGTAAAAATCAGGAATTTCTTCCTTCGCTCCAAACTGCAGAGGTACATCAATCCTTAAAACATTATATACCGGTCAGGCAACTTCAACCAAGTGATTCAGTATTTTTATTCATAACTCCCATTTGTGACTCCTATTCGTAAATGATCTTCAAGATAAATGATTCTTATTTGTATTTAAACCCGAATAATCTTCAAGATAAATAATTTTTATTGTATTCGAACCTGAACCGTCTAGAAATTGCCATAGGCTAAAAAGGGTTAAATTGTTATGATAGATGAAGGGAAATTTGAAAAGGATTTAGATAAAATGATTTAACTATTAAATAAATTAGTATGAAAAGAAAAAATCTTATTTAATATATTTAAATATAGTAAAGCATAATATCTTATTCCAAAAAATAATATATAATTTTATATAGAAGCTAACATGTGTCATTCATTTCAGATGTAGAGGTTATGTATAAAATTTGACAATTTGCTCGAGAAATCATTGCCAAAATATATATATATATAATAACATATTATTAACAAAACGTACCTTATAAAATCAGACGGTCATTAACATAAATAAATATAAATTAATATAAGTGATTTATTCGTCGTTGTCTGTCAGATCAAATTAATAATGTTACTTTTTCTAACACAAAGCATAGACGACAAATGACATTTGAGTAAGAGGTGATTGTGTCCGAAATAACTAAATAACGGTTCCAACCGTTACAATTTTTCAAATATTTCAAAATATTAAGTAATCTGGGTTTAGTCTAGTTTAGTTTGTCAAATTAACAAAATTAAATTAATGGAATTCAATGTTCAAGGTTATTTTCCAGGATTATCTTATTACTGTTTACCTCATTAGAGGAATTGATTAAATAATGGTGATTTTTCATGTTAGTATTAAAAAATGATATATTAAGTAGTAAGAGTCTACAGTGCCACTTTTAATCACTCCAAGGATTAAAATGCATTTTAGTATCGTGGTACATACGCTATTTTTTGTACCGCAGGAACTAAAACTTGGAAATTTACACGATAATTTGACGTTTTATGGTAATTATTTGAAATAAATTGGATTCCATCAGCTCCAGGTTCTTATTTTTGCCTTTACTTGTTCCATCATTCTCATTTAGCTTTTACCTACTTTCCTTGACTTCCACTACTTGTCTTTTTTGACATATTTTCAATTTTTATTCTAATTTTATCTTTCTTCACTTTACCTGTTTTTTTAACTAAAAGAACATATTTTTCTCTTTAACTGTTAAGTATAGACTACAAAGTATAACGAGTAGTATAGTCGTACGTCTTTTTCTTTTTCTGCTCGTCATCTATATTTCATTAGATAGACCCTGTATTAAACATGAGATCAGATCATATGACACCCCGCCTGACATTCACCTTACCATCCATAAGGTACCCCTTTACTAACAAAAAAAGAATCATAGAAATTGGACAAGGTGGTAAAGAATTACCGCTAAACATTCATTAAAAATAAAGAGTTCAAGGATTTTCTAATGGACCCAATTAATAGATTTCGACCAAATTAATATGGGACCACCACTGAAGTACCCCCTTACTCACAAAAAAAGAATCATTAAAATCAAACACCATGTAAAAGAATTATCGCTGAACATACATAAAAAAATATTACAACGAATTGAGAAACTTCTCCATTATTGAAGTCGGTTAAAAAGACGAGATTTTAAATTTGAGTTACCTCCTGTCTAGTGAACGGAAAAATATAAACTATTCTAGATTGCTGGTAACAGTTTATAACCCATACATAGGAATACTTGTACACTAAGAGATGACCGGTATTTTAGTATATTTTTAAAAATGGAATATTTCAAATATATTATGTGCTTTAGCAATTTCGTCGATAATCTGTTTATTATATTTGGTTTTATGTTCATTCACTATCCTCAAAAGTTCCACTTTTACCATATTATCTTCAAATGGTATACTTTTGAAACGCAACCATTCTTTAATTAGAGATTTTCTTGTGGCATTAGTAGGAATTTTTTTTAGCTTTTCTAGAATGGTATGTGGCGTTATATAAAATAATTACACAATCTCTTCTAGGTTCGGAATTATGTTACTAAACCAATTCTCAAACGATTTGCTGTCCTTTTCCTCATGATAGCTCTCCATCTTCTTCTACTCAAAGGCCCACAAGGCGGAGGAGACAAAACCGGTTTCGCTTCCAATGTGACATATTATTATCCTTTTTCCTTTTTCTGTTAGGATATTTATTTTCTTTAAGTTAAAACAGAAGGACCTACTGCTCATTTTATTTTTGGCAACAATCTGCCAAAAATGCCTTTTTGAAATTGGGTAAATTGTTCTGCAGAACATACGTTAATCAAGAAAAAGACAGTTGATACTCAAAGTCCATGTTAACTTGGATCGACGAGCGACAAAGCTGTCAGTTCGCGGAAGACGTCAACTTTGCGGTTGAATTTCTAAAGACAAAAGCCTCCTTTGGATAGTGATCTTAGAAAAAGAATGTTTCTGTTATCTTATAACTGCAGAGATACTTGAGTGTTTGAAGGATACACTTCACTAATGTTTCCTACTTTTCTCACTATTTTATCTACTAAAAATAAAGGATATACTCCGATTTAATTTTTGTGAAAGTTCATAATTACATTTTTTTCATTAATATTAAAATGCCGCTGTTTGTTTTTTTTTAGGTGGAGTGTTAAAGCACAACATAGCCATATCAGTGCTTGACATTTTAAAAATGTAAAGCTTTAAAACAACATAACCATACATGTACACTAAATATTTGTCAAAATATAACACACACCGATCGTTGTTTGGGTTGCTTTTTTTGTTGGCTGAACAGACTATAGAAATAACATTGCTTATTCCTGGTCATTTTGCATTCTTAGTTTGTCTCAAACTATAGAATCATTAGCTTCGTTCAGCAGACGCTACAGTTTACTTATTTTTTGCTGAACGACAACTTTCTCAACGTTGCGCAAAACAGTTGTCGGATCAGTCGCCATTTTTTGGCGCTTATTTAATTTATGCTACCGTAAACATGTTGCGTATTCTATTTTTGAGGTTAAAATCAACTTAAAAATAGAATAAGAAAGATGAACTTGATCAAACTTTCAAAGTTCAGGTGACTGCAAAAGAAAACCATCTAGTAGTGAGTGGAAGTCCCGTCAATTTTACAATGATATTTATGTCAATAGCGTCGTCAAGGGCGACCATTAAAATATTGCCATCCATTGTATCACTCAAGCTTTTTTTACAACAGTTGCTTTTGTTATTATACACAATACCCTTTTATATTTTACTTTTTAATTTACACACGATCCACAGATAAAATGGATAAAATATAAAATCATAAATTTGGAAGTTAGTTACATGACTTTAATAAATGTTAAATGTCACTACAGTTTCTTGCTCAAAACGCAAAAAAATACTGTTCAGCAGACTATAAAACTGTTGAAAATTTGATTTTTCTGCTGAACGTAGCCATTATTTCCACTTTAACTGATCTGTGACATTTATATTCGCTAAACACGGCGACCAATATGGCATACATAATATGTCGCAACCCCTTCTATTTAATAACCCTGACAACGAAAGCATATTTGTTTTATTATTTAAGTGGAACTGGATAATCTATATAAAACTTACCTACATCAAAGCGAAGTCTTTGGATATGAAAAGCCTCATTAAATCTTTAGTTTGATTTATAACTCCCTTTTACAATAATACGCCGACTTTGTGATATAAGATAATAATTTTCTGTCGTATAAAGCGTGGTTTTTAAATAAAATTTATAGAAGGAATATTTCTAAGTAAGTACGTATCTATGGCTTTAATTTAGGATTTATTTAAATATAATTAAAATGCAAAATGGAAAGGAAATAAAGTCAAAGCTTTCTTTGAAAATGTTCGCACATACATTATAATTAATATACACTGTAAATTTTACTCTTCAGTTATTAAAATTATTTCTATAAATATAATTATTAAAGTCTGTTGAGATTGGTACATATAGAT